CGCCCCCGCGGCCGCTCTCGAGCCGGAGGCGGCGGCGGCCTTCTCCGCGCACCCGGCCCCTGCCTTTCGGCTCCCTGGCCGGCCCTGGCGTGGCGAGCGAGGCCGCCGGCGGGAGGCCCCTCCGGCGAGCTCGGCCGAGAGGCGGCGGCCACATCCCGCGTGTTCTCCGCCCGCCCCGGGATTCCCTGGCGCCCGATGCACAGCCGGCCTCTCCCAGAAGCCTGGCGCTCCGGTGCTGCCGTTCCGCACCCGGGCGTTTGCCGGGAGGCCCGCGCACGCGGAGTCTCTGCTTGAGCGCTCGGGCCTCTGCCCGTTCCGCCACGTGCTGCCGCAGCCTCTCCTGCATCCGGGCAGGTAGAAACTAGGGAATGCACGCCGTTGAACACAGAATTTCTTCTGAGTAAGTTGCACGTGGGATCGCAGTCACAGTATTTCCTCACTCGGGTACTTGAAAGAGAGTTCCATTACGCAACAGCAAAAACCCAAAAATCTGCCCTCAAAACACACTTAACTGCTAATACTTGGGCAGACTCAGATATGCTCATCACTCACAGAGACAATGCTTAATATCTGAAGTATCTTAACGGAGCAGTATTCTGATTTTTTTTGAAGCTGTGGCTATTTGTGTGCAAGCAAACCAGCAAATAAGCTGCGAGATCACGTCTGCGGACAAAAGCTTCCTTGCGCTGCACGCCACCTCGTTATTAACGGACACAATTTGGCACACACGTTGCAACTTCTGAGCTGAGCCCACACTGGCTGCCAGTTCATTACAGGCCTCCAAGATGCACGTTTTGAGCTTTAGGGCGCTACAGGCCTCGTCTTTATATTGCATAGGCCCTCAACCTATGGCCAGAACCAGCCCGCCGGGCCCATTTCTGCGGCCTGCCACGGAGGCTCTGGGCTCGCTGCTCGCGCGGGGCGAGGCGGCGGCCTGCTCGTACGGGGATCGCTTCGGGCTCGCTCGGAGCAAAGGAGCTCCTTGCGAGCGAGCCGCCGCCTTGCCGAAGGCGAAGGGCGCGCTGCGAGGTTGTGGTTCTTCCGCATCCCGAAGCCTGCGACCGGGATGCAGCCGGGCGCGCGGGCAGCTTGGCGGCGCCTCGCCGTGCCGCGGGGCTACGGCGCCTCCTGAGCCGTCGCCTGGCCGGACGGGGGGGGGGGCTCGGACGGGGATCGCCC